ATTATAGCCTCTGGAAAATGGAAATTAATTAAGCATTATGATATTACTAGCTCTGATAATTGAAACTAATAATTGACCTAATTAAGAATGTTAAACTACACTTAATTCTTTGACTGAAACATACACAGACATGTGTAACTTGCAAAAAGATTTAATAATAATGAATCCATGGTAGTTGTGTTCAAGAAAAATACATAATCCTCTGTTCCAATCTGTTTGTCTGATTTAAATAACTTGATATAAAATTTAAGAAAGTATAGATTTTTAATTTTTCGCTCTTAACAAATTAAAAATATGTAAAATTAACTAAAATACTCTTTCATCTTTCTCTGCATTTGTCCATTGAAATCCATGATGAAGGAGCTGTAATAATATCAATAAAAGAAAAATAAATTAATATGAAAGGTGGTCGATAGATTTGTGCGTAATATGCGCCATGATTGTACAAATTTTTGTTTACGCTTAATTCTAATTTAATACTGGGTTAAACCAGTGTTATATTTTTATTTTTTTTGTGGGTAAGAAATGGGCAAATAGTCACTATTAATTTATATTTAATTATTCCTTTTCAAAACTATTCAATATGTAGCCATATTTTAATGTGAACATAAAATTCAAACAAAAGCGCCCTAACTAATTAAAACGCAATGCAACTGTAACAATAATATTTTCAATGTAATTCCACTGAATTCAGAGAGCGTAGAATGTATGTATACATAGTGTTGGATATTTTGTAATAAATAAAGGTCTTAAATTAAACAGATATATCTGTTTCTGAAAGAACATGACTGTTATGAAAAGTCATTTATTCATGACTCTTATGAAAAAGTCATCTCTTAAGTTCTATAAATATAAAGTCTCTTTTGAAATAGCCTAAGAAAAATATGCATGTATAGAGTTTTGTTGTATCATGAAGGGATTTGTTTGTATATTAACCAATATATATACGGACAATATCTTCTTCTTCTTTTCTTTTAAAAAAAAAAATGTGATTACACGCATCAAAATCATCATCTTCTTTAATTTATATTTCCTACTATTTTTTTTCTAACACGTAGATCTTATATTTACCTTCCGTCGATATTGAACCATATCAGCCATTCAAACTCATTTTTAACCCTCTTTTTTCCCATATAGGTAAGGGGGAATAAAAAAAGTCTATGTAACTGAAGTATTAACTACGACCTCTTAACAACATGATAGTTCAAACAAAAAAGCAAATTGAAACAAAGGTAAAGTTCGAATTTTAATTTATAAATTTATGTCATAATTATAAATACTAAATTTTGATAGATTATTTGTATATATTAAAAAAATTAACAACACACACAAAAGTAAGCTAAAATTAATAAGTTAGGTCAAATCATTACTATGGCTCCACCCCTAATTTGGATACCTATGCATTAAAATTTCTTTAACACGAATATAATGTTAGAGTTAAAGTTATTGAGTTATGTCGAATTTATTATCACTATTATGGCTTCATATACTTAACTTAAATTTGAGTTAAAATTATTGAATAAGCTTGTAATCATTATTTTTGTGGCTCACTACCCCTACTTTGAATGTTCATAAATAATTTATACATATTAATTATTTTTTTATGTATAATTATAAAATTTGAGTCAAAATTACTACCGTTACGTCCGACGTGTAACCAGATAGGTAGAGGAAAAAGAATAGTCGGGGGAGCACAGTATATAAATGACTGACTATTTTTGTCACCAAATAAAGATAGTGATTGGGCATGCATGCTCACACGTCTTTTTCTTCTCTGTCTCTCTTTTCCTTTATACTTTATTTGTTGTTGTTCTTCAACTCCCTTTTATGTTAATCTTACTTATATTTAATTTAAGTTACAATAAGAATTTGACCAGATGTTCAACCGTATTTTTACTTGTCATGTTTTACTTATCGAGACTCAATTATATAAATTTTAAGATATATTTTTGTGTAGTTTTTTATATTTAAATATAAATTTTAAATATTGAATTAAGTTAATTCAATTTAGCTCTGAAGTGAAATGTGACAAGTAAAAGTAAACTGAGGGAATAATTTCATATATACATATGTGTGTCCGGTACTAGTGTTGAAGTTCAACTAAATTTGAATTCGCAATGGAAAATTCCACATTTGAGGCAAAACGCTTTCCCTAACAAAAACGATTTCATCCTCAAAATACTCAAATCTAAAACATCTAATCAAGGATAAAAATATACTTATCACTCTACCACAATTCTTCTCCGTTTGAATCCGTTATTTATTACTACTACATGATCAAGACGACATATCCACAACAAACCTTTGAAGCATTGTGGAAAGTGCACAACATATAGTTCTAATATAAAGTATGAGACTTTAGAAAAATCAATTTGGGTCTTTCTTTCTATTTTTTTAAACACAAATTATGTTAATTATTTAATATTTGTCCGCTTAGAGGAGCAAAATTCCATAAGATTTAAATTACTTAAAAATATTAATATGCTTAATCAAATAGCATGAAAAGCGAAATTGATATAAGCATCAACTCATAGAAAAAATCGCTATCTATATATTTATTTGTATTCCCACAATCCACGTTGATATACTTATTGATTTGAAGATGAAAAAAATAACTAATCGATTGAGATTTCCTACCAAAGCGTGTTTTAATTAAGAACCACATGTGAACTATATAGTGGTGAGACTATAGAGCCATTAGATTAGAATAGTGTTGTTATCAATGGGGTCCATGTTTCTTTATTAGGTCTAGATGCTCCCCTAATCCCTTTTATTCTTGCTATTCGTTTAATACAAAATTAACTTATTTCAACATTAATTTTTTTTTAAAAATGAACTTATTTTATATTTAGTTGAAATAAATCATAAAAAAACTTATCATAGAATTATAATATTATTTTTATAAAAAAATAACCATTTCAAAATAATTAATCTCTTAATAACTTATTTTCCGATTGAACTTACCCTTAACCTAAGAAACTTCTTAAACGTTGGGCTATATCTTACCAGTACATTTTAGGTGTTCAATTTCTCACCAATTGTAGTTACATTTGGGAGAAAATTGTTTCAATTCAAAAGTCAAAATATCTTTACTATAAGCTATATATAGTTACTACGTTTAGGTTTTCAATACACACCAATAGTCAATGCATAGAATGAAAGTCAAAATATCTTTAGTTACATACACTAATTCCTTCAATTTCTTTGAAATGGAACTTGAATGTTTAAATAAACATAAAAGTATCATGAATACTTTTTATATGATATAAAAAAATAAATTTTAAGAAATTGAGGCGCAAAAATAATTTTAAACTTTCCAAATGCCACTAGACTAATTAATACATTGGAAAAATAGGTACTCTTTTTTCTTTTTACTTTTATATCATTTACTATTTCTCATATTTCAATTTATTTGTTTTTTCTTTTTTCTTTAATATATTAAAATAATAATATATCTTTCTTATTTTACAATTCTTTGATTTCAACTTTCCACATGACACGTAATAATTTACTTATCAAGATTCAAATTCTTTTTTTAGTTTTCTTAAACTTCAGATCAAGTAAAACTTGACAAACAAATTTAAACAGAAGAAATAACAATTTCACTTTAAAATTTCATTTAGACTATAAATTTAAATAATTTTTCTTTCATTCTTAAATTTATTGTCCAATTAAATACTACCACATAAATAAACACCTTATTTTTGTTAAAATGATTAAACATATTAAAATTAAAAGCATATATAGTGCAATTTGCACTGGTCCATAGTAATGTTATTAAGGGGGAATTAAAATTATGTATTTATAGTTGAAAAGGATGGAGAAATTGACAAGACATAGAATAGAAAGAATGACTTCTTTGCTTTCACATTTTCCCACTCCTTTCAATTTTTCTTCCTCCTTTGAAAAGACGTGTACTCTAAAGAAGGAACATATATGGGAGTGGGCCACATTCCAACTTTCAACAAGTAAATATTCTTCCGTTCTCCGTGTTGTCTTAGTAAAAATCACGTTCATTAAAAAAAATATAATTTACTAAATTACTTCTATTTGTTTATTTAATATCTTTTGAATGTAAGAGCATCGTTAAAAATATATATTAATTTTCATCTTGAATTTATACGAAGATGACAGTTATTTTGAGACAGAGCGTGATGGCCTCACTTTTTCTAGTTTCTCCCTTTTCATCACGCCATCAATTCTCTTTCTGGCCGTCGTTGTAGTTTTGCAACTTTTCTTCCTGCCATCACCTATTTTGCTATTTACACTATATAATATTATTTTTTCAAAATAAAACAAGAAACAAATATGTACTCTGTCCCAATTATTATTTGAAATAGTCAAATAGTTTTTATTTTATTTTTTGGATATGAGTTTTTTTTTAAAAAGAAATAATAAAGATAAAATGTTGAAAAATAAATAATATTTAAAAGCAAAAATAAAATAAAAATTATTCTTTTAATTTTTTAAATTTAAAGTAAAATTATCTTTAATAAATTGAACAAATAAGACAGAATGAGGGAGTACTAACTAACTATGGAGGTGCTTAAATTAACAAACTCAACTAATTAAGAGGGGCGGGAAAGAGTAGTTAAGTATGAAAATAGCATTATTCTTATTGGTTCACCCTTAGCCTAATTCACCTTTTGGGGGTGTTTTTCTATGTCTGATAATAGAATAGGATTAAATTTGGAGACTAAATTACATTTTTGAGCGATGCTTTCAAAATAATTCTTTTTTCTATTTCAAATCTTTATTAATTAAAAGAGAACGAAAGTTCAACCATCGGATAATAATCCAATTTCATCTTTACAAGTTCACACATTAAAGCTTGAATTAAATTTGAAATTGCGCATGATTCACTTGAGAGTACGCTTTCAACACGATTTGTTTTCATATAGGACTCAAATCCAAAACGTCGGGTTAAGGCTTCACAAATTTATTTCCTCTGTCTCTTTTTCAATCTTTTAATAAATAAACAAAACACGACCAAAAAAAACTAAAATAAAAACAGAGAATGACACTTTCACTTTATTGTATCACCAGTATTCATATGATATAGTACAGTGAACACATGACTAAAGCCTTCACAAATACAACAACACAAGCTAAAAAAGAAGCTAAAGGCAAAATCACCCATAATCCTTCTCCTCCAGCACCACCTAGTACGACAAATTGTTTTTCTATTCAGCTATAGGAGCTAATAGCTTCAGCATTTAGTAATAATCAATCAATTTTCTGCCGCAGAAATCACTGTGTTGTCCTCTGTGTTAAAGAAGAGAACAGAAGAGAAGAAGTGTAGCTGGAGCTCTAGCTAAGCTTTATTTTTTTTGGCATTCCAAGGACTTGAGAGAGTAAAGAAAACGACCCAGTTGAAGATTTTTTTCAGATCTCTTGCTTAACTGGTAAAATTCTGCTTTCTTGATTTTTTGTTGTTCTGTAATGTGGGTGTCGTTTTTTTTGGGTTTTTTCTTTCTGTTATTCTTAGCATTTTTGCGTCTCTGTTTTGGGGGGAAAAAATTCCCAGAAATTTTTAGTCTGTGGGTTCAGAGTGGCCACGTTGAATTCTTTTTCACCCATAGCTGAAGCTAGATCTGCCTATGGCTCTTGCTTGTATATTTCCATGTTTGTGAGTGTTTAAAAAAACAGTGAAATGTGATGGGGGTGGGGGGTTTCTTAGAAGTTGATTGTCACTTACTTTGGGATTTAAGGTTTTCTATTTAGAGCTTCTTAAGGGTTATTTCATTGTGTGATTAAGGGAACTTGTGAAAATTATGGAATGTTGAGGTGATTGTAAAAATAATATTTGCCTAATTGGGTGCTTTTGTATTACATCATGCATATCTCTTTATAAAGTGCCTTTGTTACTTACCATATCTGAAGATTTTATAGTCACTAATGGAGATTGTGTTAGTGAAAAAAAACCTTTGTTATAGTGACTGTTTAATGAGATGTAGTTTCTTTGATGTGTTTGCATACTTGTCATCAAAATGGTCTTAGTAGATTTGATTAGTGGTATAGTAATGTGTGGGAAGGTGGTACTGATTTTTTGCACTTCTGCAGAGTTTTCTTCTGGGGATGTACTTGTGATGATACATATAGTATTTGAAGATGGAAAGGATACCTGAAGTTAGAGAGTCAACTAGGCAGTTCCCTATAGGGGCTAAGGTGGCACATACTTTCTCTACCTCCAAGAAGGAGGTCGGTATTAGAGGCTTTCGAGATTTTGACTTGGCTGTTCCAATAGAAACATGGAAAGGAAAGACCTCCTATCAGGAGGAAGAAGACCTCATGGTCGATGCTGGTACAATAAAGCGTAGTGATGATTCACTTGAAGATAGTGGCTCTACATCATTTCATGGGGCGAGTCATCCTCCGGAACCTGTTGATACAGACCTAATGAGACCAGTGTATGTACCAATTGGTCAGAAGAAAGGAGATGGGAAATGTCTGGTGAAAAACATATCTTTGAAGGGTCCTTTCTTGGACGATCTTTCAATCCGGATGCCAAATGTGAAACCAAGCCCATCCCTTCTTTCACCGGCAGAGAGCTTGGTTGAAGAGCCAAATGATCTAGGTGTAATCTCTTCTCCATTTACAGTTCCTCGTCCTTCTCAAAACACAGAAACAAGTCTGCTTCCTGATTCCGAAGAGAAAGAATGTATTTGGGATGCATCTCAGCCTCCAAGTGGAAATGTAAGTCCACTTAGTAGCATTGATAGTACTGGTGTTGTGAGATCTATGAGTATTGTCAACAGTTGCACAAGCACGTACAGGAGCGATGGGCTTATGAGTGATGGCATGCTTAGTGTGGACAGAAACTATGAGAGCACGAAAGGGAGCATTCGAGGGGATTCACTCGAAAGTGGTAAAACTAGCCTTAGCAGAGCAAGTGACAGTAGTGGACTTAGTGATGATAGTAATTGGAGTAACATCACTGGCAGTGCCAATAAGCCTCACAAAGGAAATGATCCTAGATGGAAGGCTATTCTCGCGATTCGGGCACGTGATGGTATATTAGGCATGAGCCACTTTAAGTTACTCAAAAGACTTGGTTGTGGAGACATTGGAAGTGTTTATCTTTCTGAGCTTAGCGGGACTCGCTGCTATTTTGCAATGAAAGTGATGGATAAGGCATCACTTGCAAGCAGGAAGAAATTGACCCGTGCTCAGACAGAAAGAGAAATCCTACAGTTATTAGACCATCCATTCTTGCCAACATTGTACACTCATTTTGAGACCGATCGCTTCTCCTGTTTGGTCATGGAATATTGTCCTGGAGGAGATCTGCATACTCTACGACAGCGACAACCTGGGAAGCATTTTTCAGAATATGCTGCAAGGTATGGAATTGTTATCCTTATCTAGAATATACAACAGGTAGATAATCCTCTCCTTATAAAAGGCTTTCGCATGTAGTCCTAACATAAACACAATAAACCTCTGGTCACTTTAACATTCCTTAATCCTTACATGGTATTAACTCTCTTTTCCTAAGTGAAACTCTTTATCTGCCACTAAATGCACCTTTACTGGCTAACAAAGGGCTATTTCTTTTCCCTTTCCTCTTTTTCTTGAGTGGGTTGGTGTTGGCGGAGAGAGGGTGTATTGGTGGAAGGAGATGATTTTGCCACAATGAATGTCACCCCTTTTCACTTATCCAAAAAAACAAAAAGATTGTTGCCCATTTTCTCTTACTGGCAAATAGAGAATGCTGAATATCTGATAAAATCCTTGAACTATGTTTTATTAAGATGAAAAGTTATGTTGAAGCAGTGATTTAAGCTTCCAAAGAGCTCAGTTTGTTCACTGTCTTTTCTGTACTAGGTATAAATTTTGTCCCCGTTGTGTCCCTGCCTGGTTTTTCTTCAAATCTGTTGTGAGAATCTTAGAGCTTGCCTAGCTTGACATCAAAGTATGTGTCATTAAATTATATCCTTTATCATTATCACCTAGTTAATGTTAGTTGAGATTTGTATTCAAAAGCTGAATAGACTTCATTGTGGTCTCCCTAAAATAAAGAGACTATTCGAGTTCACTCTGGTGTGAGGATCATAGAGCTTTAGTTTCTAGATTGGCACTAAAGAATTCAGGATTTTTTACCTTGCATTTATGTTTAAACTTTTGAGTTCTTTAATCAAACTTTAACTAACCCCCCCTTTTCTGCCACAGGTTTTATGCAGCAGAAGTTCTATTGGCACTTGAATATCTACATATGCTTGGTGTAGTGTACAGGGATTTAAAACCTGAAAATGTTCTTGTGCGTGACGATGGCCACATTATGCTTTCAGATTTTGACCTCTCCTTAAGATGTGCAGTTTCACCTACGCTCATAAGGACCTCATCTGATGATCCTTCAAAACGAGGAGCTGCATTTTGTGTGCAGCCAACCTGTATTGAGCCCACAACTGTATGCATGCAACCAGCATGCTTCCTTCCCCGTTTATTTCCTCAAAAGAGCAAGAAAAAAACACCTAAGCCTCGAGCTGATTCTGGGTTTCAAGCTAATTCAATGCCTGAGCTAGTTGCGGAACCTACTTCAGCACGGTCAATGTCATTTGTTGGGACTCATGAATATTTGGCCCCCGAGATTATCAAGGGAGAAGGCCATGGCAGTGCGGTTGACTGGTGGACATTTGGTATTTTTCTTCATGAACTACTATATGGAAAGACCCCTTTCAAGGGATCAGGAAACAGGGCAACTCTTTTCAATGTAGTTGGCCAGCAGCTTAGATTTCCAGATTCTCCTGCAACCAGTTATGCCAGCCGTGATCTGATACGTGGTTTGCTTGTTAAAGAGCCTCAAAACCGGCTTGGGGTGAAACGAGGAGCAACTGAGATCAAGCAGCATCCTTTCTTTGAAGGTGTTAATTGGGCTCTGATACGTTGCAGTACACCACCTGAAGTACCAAGACCCGTGGAGCCGGAGTACCCTGCAAAGTATGGGCAAGTGAACCCTGTTGGGGTTGGCAATACCAGTAAAAAAGTGGTAGGGGCAGATGCAAAGTCTGGGGGTAAATATCTTGACTTTGAGTTCTTTTAGTTTTAGGATATAGGATTCTTGTATCAGTGCCATTAGTTGATCCTTCAGCAGTCAGCACTGCTTTCTTCTAGTTGTTATCATTTGTTCAATTGATGAACTTGCAATACACAAGAACTGGGAAAAACTCACTGGCCAATGGGGTTGTGTGAGAAAGGTGAAACAAAATGCCTTGTTATTTCCATGTCTTAGGAGCTAGCCAAGACTATAATGAAGAAGCAGTTGGCAATATAATACTCCCTCCGTACTTATTTACATGACACTCTTTATATTTAGTGTTTCCAAATAAGGTACTAATAGTACACAAAACTTGCATTATTTTAGGGCACTCTATCGAACGATCTCATAGATATATCTATTGCAACGATTATGTTCATCAGTATGATGTGTAGTTTTTTCTAATAGCAATAGTTATAACAATAACTACAACAACAACAACAACAATTATATCAAGTGTAATTTCGTAAGTGTAAATTGGAAAAGATAAATTATTTGCACCTTATCCATATCTCGGTAGATAGGTTATATTTGGAAGATCGTCCGCTCAAGTGTATCTATATCACTTCGCCTAAAATAATTAGGGGTTATTTGGTACGTGGGATGAGATAAGCAAAAATAGTTTATGAGTTGGGATACTCCGTGATTTATTTAATCCACTTTTTATATGGGATATTAATCCAATCATTTTAGTATAAATAATGAGATAAATTGTTTCGAAATTAGCTAATATCTCAAACTAAATATGAAATAAAGTTTATTTCAAAATTATTATTCTCATCCCATGTACCAAACGATTAGAAATCATTTTGATAATTTTTTTTCGTTATAGATAAAATCATTTATAATTTAAAACACCCGCACAATTATTACATGTACAATAAAACCTCTATAAATTAATATAGGTGGGACCATGAAATTTTATTATTTTATAGAGATATTATTTAATCGATAAATTAATATTTATTAATTTAAAGAATGGTTTGATATCTAATGAAGGTTAATTTTGATCATATCAAAATCATTGTATCTTACTAATTTATATATCATATTTATTGATTTCACTTAAAAAAATATTATACATAAAGTACAACGAATACATCAAAATCATTGTATCTTACTAATTTATGTATCATATTTATTCAATTGTCACTATCGTGCAAACAAAAGAGCATGGATGACAAGTGTGCTTTTTGATGAATATATTTGTTGGTTTAACCACAAAATGCATGGTAGACGAGTTTTGCTTATGATAGATAATTGTCCAACCCATAATATAAATATTGAAGGACTACAAAATGTTGAATTGTTTTTCTTGCCACCCAACATGACATTCAAAATTCAACCTTGTGATGCTGGGATAATAAGAGCTTTCAAGATGTATTATCGTAACAGATTTTATCGGAGGATATTAGAAGGCTATGAAGTGGGACAAACTGATCCAACAAAGATTAATGTTTTGGATGCTATCAATTTTGCAATCCCTGCTTGGACAATAAGTGTTCAGCAAGAGAAGATAGCAAATTATTTTCGACACTGTAAAATTCGTTTGGGGGATGCAATCTCAGAGAATTTGAATGAACCCATTTGTGAAAACGTCATTCATGAACTTGAGGCCGTGATTAATGATCTCGATTACCATGATAAAATGGATGTCAATAACCTATTGGATTATCGGGGTGAAAGTGATACATGTTCAGAGGTCCAGAGCTTAGAAGAAATTATGGATACCATCGAAAAAAGCAATGTTGATGATGAAGTTGAAGATGATATTATACCTTTGGAACCAAATACGCGTAAGGAAACACTTATAACATCTAGAACTCTTCACAATTTTATGGTGTAATTCGAAAAGACAACACTAGAGCTCTTGGATGCAATAAGAAAAGTTAGAGAGGAGCTTCAACTAGATTTAAATTTTAAGAAAAAACAGAACATAATAGAATCATATTTCACTAAATTGTCTTAGATATATTTGTACTTTCAAAGATTTATTAATTTATGATATTAATGGGACCATATATTTTATATAGGGGTCTTCTGGAAATATATTATCTTATTATCTTATCGAAATTGGTGATTTTTTTCCTATTTGGCCCAAGTCGGACCGGAGAAAAATATTACTTTAGAGAGATTATTAATGAGCAACTTTCACATATAGCAAACATAAAAATCATATTTGTATGTTATAACTATAGTTTGCATAATTGCGCTCCATAACTAAATTTTTTGTTTGCTATGGAGCTTTTGATTTGTATAATTCGCTAGAAACATCCAGTTTTATACAAATTGTTCAGTTTTAGTATAAAAATCATTTATATATTGTAATTTGTATAATAAAATCTGTATTTGTATAATTATAAGTGTATATGACGAAAATATATGTATTTGTATTTGTATATATACACTTTTTTTTCGCTTTATACAAACACAAACACATTTAATACATTTTATACCAAAATGTATAAAATGACTAATTGTATATTGAAAATGGTTAATTGTATATCGAATCAGATGTCAAAAAAATAGGATGTTTACTGCTAATTACAATTAAAATAAACTATGACTATAACATTTAATATGAATTAATAGTTTGCTATTTCATATAATTTTCCCATTATTAATTTACTGTATATACAAATTTAAATAACCATTCAGTACATAAAGTAATATATAATTTTTCTTACAATTAACCCCAAATTAACACTGTACCCTAAAACTTCCGACGACATCGACCACCAAACCCTCCGGCGAACTCCCCGGCGTGGTCTTTCTTTCCAACTGAACCAACGGGCTGTCGTTGGAATCTGTTCGCTGCTCCTTCCTTTTCCCTTCTCTGGTAATATTCTCTCCTTTTAAAAATATGGTGCTTTCAATTTTCTCTTTCTAGCATTTGCATTTATTGAGTAAGAGGGGGAAGTGTTTATCCTTCAGTTTTGTTTAGAGGATCGTTAACATTGATGTAAGATTATAATATTTGTGTTTGAAATCACAAAGAGCTGGCACAATCCTATCTTACTGCTTTGAAGAAGGACGATTTAAGCATTTGGAGTGAATATTGAATAGCTAATTGTTAGTGCTATATGCATCTGGACTGAAGTTATTAAGAAATTGTCAGATTGAGTTTTAATTTTAGTCTGGCTTACTGATGTAGAAGTATTCAGAACTATCCGGTAATTTGCTAACTGAGTTTGAAATATTGAGAAGGAAAGGCATTTTCTTTGCTTGGTTGATCCCTAAATCTATTCTTATCTATTAGCTTGACAATAGTATTAACTTGATCAAATCAAACTCTAGTTTAAGCTTGTTTATACTACTGATATGACTTATTTTTTCTATTTAAATGCTATGTAATCAAATCTGATACATAATGATATTTTGATGGTTTTGTAGGTAAAGCAAATGAACAGGGGTAGAAACCGGTGAAGACCTTACTGAAGAATATTGGTTGATCGTTGGCAAGACCTTTCATTTTTTTATTTTTTTTAAAATTTTGTTTCATTTTTTGTCCCCTGTTATTTTTCTCTCTACCTTTTCTTCTTCTTTTCCTCTTTCCAATCTATAACTTGGAGTTACTAGTCAATAAAAAGGAGCCTCACCGGCGACGGATCACCGCCCGTCCGCCTATGGAACACCTTCTCCGGAGTAATTTGGAGACCAACGATAACAACAATCCTCAAGCTATCTTACAAGCTCTCTCTCTGATCTCCAACCCTTCCACCTCTGACTCCACACTTTCATCCATTGCCAAAGTCTTAATCATCTCTCTGAAATGCCCTAACCCTAATTCTAATTCGCATCGTTTTATCCACCATCACATTCTCCGCCTCTTTTCTCTTCTTTTATATCACTGTCCACACCTCCACCATAACCTCATCTCTGCCATCCGTGAATTCTCTCTCCTCCCTTCAACCTCCACGAGATTACTTGTTGATGCCCTCACATGTCTCTCCATCTCAGATAGTAATGTTAATGATGAATCAACATTCCTTTCTCTTGTTTTTCGTCCTTGTGTTTCTGTTCGTCATTGGTTACTTTTAAATGTGAGTAAATTTGACATACGGCCGTCGGTTTTGCTTACGGTTCTGCTAGGATTTACGAAGGACCCCTATCCGTGTATTCGAAATGTTGCTTTGAGTGGATTAGCTGATTTGTGTAAGTGCATTGTTGTGGAAGATGAAAGTCTCATAAAAGGTTGCTATTTTCGAGCTGTTGAGCTTCTGTTTGATTCTGAGGACTTGGTACGATGTTCTGCAGTTCATGCGGTAAGATTTCCAAGTGCGTGCTAAATAAGTCCGATGTTTACATGTTACCACTTGAAATGTATGTATTATTTGTATGTCAGTAGGAAAGGTATAGAGAAGCTATAGTGTTAAAGAATCCAAATTGCTTACTGTTGGCATGAAACATGTGTAAATGGAGCGAAATGGATATTGAAGACTTATATGACTGTACCAAGTAAGTTTCGATAGCGGCATAATAGTAGTAGTAGTTGTATGTAAGTGCTACTAACCTGGTAAAAAAAAAATGTAATTGTTCTTATTACTTTAGGTTATGATGAGGCTATTGTTTTATTCTATTTTATTTTTGATAAAGTATGATGAGGATTTCACTAGAAAGAGGTTATTTTTTGATTGCATATGAATTGTTCTTGGCCATTTCCAGTGGAACTTAACTATATATTCTTCTTGGGTTAATTTTGTTGCATTTCTGAATTTTGGTCGTGTGTAGGAACTAGAAAAAAGTAAGTGTTGTCAAGTACTGGCTATCTTTTGTGCTAGAAATAAGTTGAGAAGGTAAAGTTATTAGTTTTCGACAACTTAACTCTGATTTGTAAAGGTTTTTTGACCAAAGATTGTTGTGGGTTTTGCACTGATGAAGACCTGTTAGCATATAGTTTAAGCAAATGGTGTGAATTATACTATTTTAATATTCTGCAATTAATATGTTGAGGGTTGATTTTTTGGTGTAAGGTTCTTCCTTTAGTCTTGGGGGGTGTTTGGGGCGAGACGGTTATCTCTTGAATTAGAATTTCCTTTTTTAATCTGTGGCTGGAGAAATTGGGTAAAGCTCTTCTCATGCTCTAAGAGGTTGTTTGGTTTAGACACTGGGTATACAAGGATTAGTAATGTAGCGATTGCAATGCAGAGATTAATAGTGCAAAGGACATAATGTACAGATTTATTTAGTTTTTGGAGGCTTAATTTGATATATTGCAATTTAGTATTTATAATTTTAATGTGTTTTCTTTTAAGACAAAATAAAAGTTGAATATTTTTTAATCCGTACACTCCTATTACAAATACCTGCAT